ATGGAAGGAACGTTTGAGTGAGTGAGTGAGTTTAGTTTTACGCCGCACTCAGCAATATTCCAGCTATATGGCGGCGGTCTGTAAATAATTGAGTCTGGACCAGATAATCCAGTGATCAACAGCACGAGCATCGATCTGCGCAATTGGGAACCGATGACATGTGTCAACCCAGTCAGCGAGCCTGACCACCCGATCCCGTTAGTCGCCTCTTACGACAAGCATAGTCGCCTTTTTGGCAAGCAGGAAGGGACGTTTGGCGTCTCACTAGACGTCGGACCGGATGTAGTTCTCAGTCAAACGATTGCGACCGGTCCAGTGCTGTCCTCAGACAAGCATTGTCCGAGTCGTTATTGAAACATTTTGATGTCGATTCCGAACATACACCAACAAGAAGATTGTCTTGTTCACGTGACGTCACATGTGGACGACATTGTGTTGATTGTGTGAGTATCATGCTCCCAAATATGCACGTGCAAAATACGATTCACGAGAGGTCTTCGAATGTATTTGATGAGAGATACATTAATTGTAATCCGGCTTTTAGGATTTCCAAACCTCCAAATTTGATTTATATTTCACCAAAATGTGCAATTTAACCTTCTAATATAGGCTTGTCACAATATTGACACCAATGCATCACTGACTTTTTTTTTAGATTTGATTAAATGCATCGGCATATATTCTGATTAAAATCAGCTTTGATCATAGACGAAAAAAACAGAGTTTGAAAAAAATGTCTTGCGTCCAAAGAAATCTTTAATGAAAATAAAGCTGACACGTGCAAGAAGCTGTGGAGTGTTGGCTCGCTATGTATAAAGCCGAGGGCAGAGTTTGATATTGTATTGTGGCTATATGGTTTAACACAGCACACAACCACCCTCAAAACGTCATCCGACTACAGTCCGTTTGGCTCAAAAGCGGACCGATGAATTGCAATCTAACTCGAAAACTCATAAACATAAAATACTCAATGAAACGCTGATCATAATCAAAACATCAGACCAACTCTAAAATTAAAAGAGTTGTTTAACAAACTATCATTTAAACATTGACACAGTTCACTATTTGTTACGAAAGGAAGAGTACAGAGAAAAGGGACAGCAAGGTGTTAGAGAAGCAAGTGCCGACAACGTTATTGATTCATTAACCTGTGCTGTGCCGTCTCAATCCTTTCTCGCACACCTGGCTGTCCCTTTCTCTGCACTCCTCCGTCGTAACAAATAGTGAACTGTGTCGATATTTTAATGATAGTTTGTTAAACAACTTTTTTATTTTTAGGACATAAATTCTGCAGAGTTGGTCTGAGGTTTTGATTATGATCAGTGTTTCATTGAGTATTTTATGTTTATTAGTTTTCGAGTTAGATTGCAATTCATCGGTCCGCTTTTGAGCCAAACGGACTATACACATGCTTGTTCATGAAGCTATTCATAACTTTCAAATTTGTGACAATGATAAGATATGGTAAGTTTTGAATATGTTGATACCATCACAGCATCGGGGTTCTTTAGACGCAATTAGTCTACAACACGAGGTATCAGGGCATGATAGCGCCTCATGGACACGTTGGCAATCCCGTACTTTCACGATTCTGCTGGAGAAACTATTCACAATCTCAACACAGCGAATTCAGTGTGTTGGGAAGTTGAGTACACCCCCAAATCCGTTTTCAGTAAATCTTAGAAAATCGATTTAAGAGCTCAAACTGATGGTTAGTTATTGTCGAAGTCGTTCAATGTCTTACGGGAAGAAACGTTGTGAGTGATAAAGACTTGGAAAAAAAACATACAAAAAAGTTTCAAGTTTAACTCTTGAACGACGTACGCTTTATATGTTACTATCCGAAACCAGCACTGACTTGAGTTTATTGACTTTATATTACACAATTCAACTGTGAAAATATCTCAAATTGATGAAAGAATTTAGAAGGCTCAATGAATTTGACAATATTGTGACAAGTGCCAGTGCTTGGCGTATTTCTCTCCGTCTCAGACAGGAACAGATTTCAGTTTGACGCACCATTAGCTTCATGTTGCCGGCATGTAGATCAACTGTAAGGTGTCCTCCGGTAAATTACAATTGATCTCTCAGCGTGGTGTCATTTCCAGATGCACAATGACTGCCGGCCACTGCAGCCCACGTCACCTGCGTGGCAGAAGCTATAGTCTAATTTGAGCAACGCATCTGTTGTATATAGTTAAGGACGGTGGCGTAGCCCTGTAGCTGGCTGCACACGCCGGAGACCCAGGTTAGAAAAGTGTGCAATATTACAGGTACAAGTGCATGCCGGTATCAAAAACAAATAATCGAATCAGGACAAGAAAATCTAAATAGACTTTTATGAGCAACGATCGACATTGTTTAGATACGATGACAGGGTCGTAACTCATGCTTTAAATCACTGGCTTGTTTAGCAAGGACTCTATACTTTCCAGCATCTCGTGAAATAGCCAGAGCTGGTTTGACAGTGGCGTTCACCACATTCAATCGCCCATTCATTTGCTGAAAGCGCTAATATGCTTAGGTGAAAGGGAGCAATTATGTGTCCTATCCGAATTAATTCTTCCTCCCTTTGATGGGAAATAATGAATGTTGTATTAGTTTCGTGATGTGTGCTAAGTGGGCACGTTCCTGTTTTGTGTAATGAGTCAACAATCCTTCTCAATCAAGCGTTATCACGGTTCTTGCCTTTCGGTTTCCGAGTTTTAATCAACATGTTGCCAGGGTGTAAGGTTTGATCAAAACGAAATGGTATTTCCAGTTCAAAGAAAACAAAACCCTATTAAGAAGTTAAGTACAGATTTAAAGCATTCGATTGATCTCTTTGGTTTTGAGAAAAATCTTCAATGCGGTAGTCAAAAGCATGTCTTAACCCTTAATGAAATTGATAGCTTTGAAGGTCCAACAAATTAATTCTGGTGTTGATTATGAGAATCATTTCAATGCAATAACTGGATTCCATGTCAAACATTTGCAATAAAATGCTGTAAATTCAATCCTCTTAGAAACGATCTATCCAAAGGACTGAATAACCTTCCTTTGGTCATCAAGTTAATCAGTCATGTGAATTCCATCCATTTCTTTTCATTAAAGTTAACTTTCTGAAATGCCTGTGGATTTTGCAATTCGGTTTTGAAGAAGTTACATTATTTATGAAGATCTGAAAACGTTTAAAGAAACAGAAAAATATCATGAAAGTTGTAAGGAGATAAAACACAATACATTACCATTTCTTTTAAGGACCTGCATTGAGAATGACAGAGACAGAGAACTGTAATCCCGCCCCAATTCCTTACTGACCCTCACTTTCGTTACTCAACGCTCAGTTTCACCCAATGCAATTGATTTAGCTGCCAGTGGGCCCAATGCATGCCCTTGGAGTAATATGTTACTGTTTCGTAGTTGTGGTTTTTATTGTGAACACAATATTACCAAGGGTAGCAAATTGTATATGTTGATAGTCAGTGAGAGGCCCGGGTGTGCTAGATTTAGACATAAATATTTAGAAAGAGCGAAAAGGAGCTTATACTAGAATCATCTGCGTAATAGTTTCTGGCATCTTTTTCTCAGGCATATAAAGGGGCTACTCTTAATTGTGATAATTATTCCCTGCTTAGGCCAACAATTGCACGATATATTAGTGTTGCTGGGAGGTGAATGTTGCCATCATTGTCTTTTTACTACAATATATGCTGTTGTATTATACTGCCTCTCATATTGTACTGCTACTCTTGTGTTTACTGCCCCAGTGATACTTTTGAATTGATTTGTGAACTTAGTTAAATTTAGAATACAATTGTTAATTGCATCACATTTGTTTTGGGTTGTTGTTTTTGTTTTTTATTTATTTTATGTTTTTGGCTTCTTCTTTTTTATTTTTTTATTTGTTTATGTTTTTGTTTTGTTTTTGGTGTGCTTTTTGTTTTGTATTTTTGTTATGTTTTGTTTTGGGTTTTCGGGGGGGTTGTTGATTGTTGTCTTTTGCTGTTGCTGTTGCTGTTGATGTTGTTATTGGTGGTGGTGGTGGTGGTGGTGTGTCTTTCATGGACTTATTGCCAGTTAACTTTATTCAACTCAGGAATTAACACGCAACATTACTAACAAACTTCGCGTTACTTGCACTGGTTTCAAGTTAACAATCGGATTCACGTGCATGTGCGTGCCTCTGGCCACTCAATACAAGACGTTTGTAATGTAGGATCTAGCACCTACAGCCAGTGCCATTGCACGAAACTGTTAAATTGAACGCTTGGTGTAAGTGTACCCCGACGGCAGATACAAACATAATATTCCACGTAAATAATATTATTTGTACATATATTCTATAGTTGGCGTCCTTCACTTGAATTCCACACTTGAATACATATTAAGTATCGTAACAAATATACCACTGTATGCATTCAAATGCATTAGGTAGATATACACGTACAAATACATGCGTGTGTATGGCTATTTATGCACATGCATTTCTGTATATATTTCTACAGGTGTACATACGTTAAAGTACATGCATGTGCATATGTAATATGTATTAAATGTATATACTTTCTCAGCTGTATTATTAACACATCACAATGTAATATAATAATTATAGCACATAGAAAGAGGCTTCTTAAGTGTGTCTGATTCATTTGGTTTTTAAATTCTTTAAATAAATATCACCCAAATGACATGGATTGTTGCCTTTAGGATAAATCACTGGATATACACGACGATATACAGGCTGGTGCCACATTGTTTCGATGTTTCCAAGGGTGGCAAACAACAACAAAACGTAACAGCCGCGGTGGCTCTGTGGGTTAGGCTGCTGACTCTGTGTGCTGGTGATTAGGTGCCTGACTCTGAGTTTGTGGGTTCGAATCCCGGATGGGACTCAACCCAATAAAGGTACTAGAATCTGTACTTTACTGAGAAAGTGTAATCCCAAATGTAACAAGTGTAACATTTGACCACTTACTAATGACATTGTGTATTCATAACAAACAAAACTGAAACATAAATTATGTCAGACTATATTTTATAAAGAAAGAAAGTAGTGGACTTGCGGATGAGACACAGATATATCAGTCTAATATTATCCAACTGGCCAGTACTCAAAGAGCGGGGGTAAGCTCTTCTACTCTCATCGCCACCTCACCAACACCCAACCTGCTTGGTGACTTTGTAAGGCAAGTTTTCTGTGTTGATCTGCAGCTGGTAGACCAGTTTCTGGAGGAGCTGCAGAGTCTCGTTCCCGATGGAAGGTGTCCTACTGAGGAAGTGTACACAGTAGTTTGTTATGCCAAAAAGCTCCCACAGTCGTACTCGATGGCGTAGTTATCGTCCAAATAGACCACCGTGTAGTCTACCTAAAACATAACAGAATAAACCATATTAATATGTCAATTTGGGTCACAATTGGAATGGCTTGTAATCATGGTATGCAATGGATCATCACAGGGTTAACTGTCGTATAATGGAAAGTATACACTTGTTTGATGTGGCTAAAATTTGAAAAACAAGGACTGGGTTTTCGATGGTGATGTATTGACAAGGGTATCATGGGTGTGTTTTGTACCTTAAAGTTACAGTGTTTCGTCGACTTTTTCAACCATGCTTCGTTTGGAAGCCGTTTCTAATTGTTAATCCAGTTTCCATGTTTATAGTTTCTTTTGCCTGGCAGTTAAGTAATGGTTCATGACTTCCATACGTTGCTAATGGGTGTATCTTGTTTCTTATTAACTAAGCCCTGCATGACCCTAGCCTCAGCCGTGTTGTCTTAGTGGCAGTACAAGATACAACTCAGAGTGGAGCACTGAAGGTTATATGACTTTCGCCAATCGCTGCCAAAACAGAGTCCGCTGCACGATTCAGACTATATTAATAGCTAAAGACTAGAACAACTTTAGCACAACGTTTATTTGCAAAACGCTGGTTACAATTTGCTTTCATACTGACCTTTGGACTTAAAACAAAGAATGACTCCTTCCACTTGCCTTGCGGACCTTCGGCTGTCAAAGTACCTGAAGAAACATACGGTATGTTTATTCAATATTGGGACATCTATACACTCATTATTTAGAGTTTTTTGGAAATGAATGTATAAATGTATGTTACACAAACATGCACTTATAACTCAAGACATTATTAGTTTGGACAAATGATATTTGCTTTCGATATGCAGTTATCAACTCCCAGGGGAGTATAGAACTCACGCAGACCTTTTGCATTCGTACCATCATCTTTCATATCCGGCTGGATATGCAATGAGTCGCACATCTCAAGAGTCTATCTGTGTGAATAGGCCCGAAGCGTCAAACGCATAGAGACTTGAAATGACGCTTTTGCTGTCACTAGGTATCTACTCTCCAGCACCCATGTTGCTGAACTTCAGGTGATTGTGTACTCACTCACTCACTCAATCAATCAATCAATCACCCAATCAATCACCCAACCACTCACCCATGTGTACCCGCTCGTTAACTCACCGCCCACTCGCTCATTCATTCACTCACATGCGCGCTGTAGTTTAAAGCAACAGATGGTATATTAACAGAGCTAAGGCGAATACAACGACATTTAGTGATTCAATTTCAATATAACCACTGATATGTCCATGAAGTATCGAAACAGCTAGATGTTAGAGTTACACTTGCCATGGATAAAATTGCTCCGAAAGGAGAGAATATATTATGAAAGTCTTTTCCCAGACTATCATTACCCCTTGCAATCTCCAGACATCGCTGTCTGAAACATCTGCATTAGTACTATCGGAGATCAACGAGCTCGTGATTGTTGGTTATTGCACACGTTGTAGCAATTAAACTGCAACAGCTGCAGTGACTAGCCGCGCTATAAACAGCAGCTACTTGTCCGTTTTGCACTGTCGGCACTAATTGTCGACATGAGCCGAGAGCATCGTCATTACCGTATTACTCCTCCACAGATGCTTCTGATCCCAAAATGACAGGGTTCCGGGATGATGTTAAAGAGAATTTCTCGAAACTAACAAGCAACCAAGGTCAGGACCAGGGTCCCGATCCACAAAATGATCGTAGCGCTACGACATTCGTAAGCCTATGATAAACTATAGAATTACGACAGGTCGTAACGTTACGAACGCTTGGAGGATCGGGACCAAGGGTGCAACGGGCAGTCTACTGTACTTAGCAAGTCTGGACCCTGATCCACAAAACGTTCGTAGCGCTACGACATTCGTAAACTTATGATAAACTATAGAGTTACGACAGGTCGTAACGTTACGAACGCTTTGTAGATCGGCACCCTGGTCAAGATCTTGGTTCATTTTCTTATGAAGAAAAATTAGTAGCTGGGGACATAGTTCATCTCAGAATCACCTCGTGTTGTTGGTGGGTGGTCATTACCCCTATTCCCTTACAGATACAACCCGTGAAGATCCGGGTTAGAACTGGTCTTCTGCAACCCATGCTTGTCGTAAGAGGCGACAAACGGGATCGGGTGGTCAGGCTCGCTGACTTGGTTGAGACATGTCATCGTATTCCAATTACGCAGATTGATGCTCGTGATATTGATCATTGGATTGACCAACCAACCCTTACAGACACTCCGTGTGCCAAAATAGTTTTCTGGTTTGGTACAGAGGACAAGAATCATGACCAGCTTTGTTAAACCTCACTGCCTTGACTGCAGCGACCACAAGTGCACACACATGTGAACGTGCCTTCTGGCAAGCATATTCGTACGGCACATCCACGTAATTTGTTTCTTTGATTTTATAAATTTGCCCAGTAACCTGTAAATTTCCAGTGACTGTTTCCATTACCAATGAACAGCTACTTACTAAGTATCTTTGATTTTATAAATTTCGTAAATTGTTTGTCCGTTTTGTCCACTGCACCGATAAGTCGAATGACTGATCTTCAAGTGTCCGACACACCGATATGCTAAAACAGCTTGGATCACGTTACAACCATATAATTCAAATTATACAAAATGCTCAAACAGTTTCTTCTCTTGAAATGCAAGGCCTAAAAGGTTGGGCCTGTGTGTTAATAGTAAAAGTTTACTGAAAGATTCATTTAAGGCATTTACCGGTAATTGCATGCGACATTTATTACAAATTGTGAAACCAAATTTGCCGAAATTCATCATACTTGTTTGTCTCCATAATAGGTTTTAATGGTTTAAAAACCCTACAACGTGAGTAAAATAATTAACTTTGAAAACACACTTGAGAATACAAGTGCAAATTAAGACGGATGCTTTCAAATGTCACGCTTGTTTCATATTAGATTTTCAATAAATAGCACTATTACTTGGTAACAATGCTAACAGCAACCTCTCTTAAGTGATTGAGATTTAAACACAGCTGCTGCCTCATGGCACTTATGCTTAATTAATCTGGTATTATGTTCTAACCGAGGGCGGCTGGGATCTCGGCATGGATGAGATGACTTTAATGGATAACGGATGATTCTATACGGAGAGCACTGCAATGCACACATTTTCTACGAAAGAAGTTGCAAAACAATTTCAATGTCTACATTACATCCATTAGAAGAACCACCATCCTGGAAGAACGATGTATTTCTCAGTGTACAACCCAAGGACGATTTATTCTTTGTCAGTATCTATCTCCCCCACTCTCTAACAACTCACTCAGTCATTCGTGGAGCGATGGGGTAGCCTAGTGGTTAAGACGTTAGCCCGGGTTCGATTTCCCGCATGGGTACAATGTCTGAAGCCCATTTCTGGTGTCCCCCGCCGTGATATTGCTGGAAGATTGCTAAAAGCGGCGTTAACCCCAACTCACTCACTCATTCATTAACACTACGATTGTCAGTGTATGTTCACTGTAAGTGTCACAGATAAAAATAAACGAGTTATATACATTATAAAAAACATTCATACTTTTATGCAAGACCAAAATGGCCGTGGAGGCACTATACACCAACACATGTTTTACATATTTTCTCCGGTTTTGACATAATGTAAAATGTAAAATTAGCGTAAAACATAACATTCTTGTTGAAAATTACTTGTTTAAAGGAATAAAAAGTCGGACAATTATTTTAAAACACGTACTACCTAATTCAGTGATAGCTAACGCATTTTCGTTAGGATGAGAAAGCCACAATAACTCGGTGCGCCTAGTGGCTGCAAGAGTTGCATACTCCCCAGGGAGTTGAGATTGATAACACGATGTGCCGTTGAGATTGACATCCAATGATCGAGGTAAAATATACCAGCGCCTTGAGCAAGCACTAGTTGCCTGGATATGTGCGCTATATAAATATCGTATAATAAAAAAATTAAAAATATAATAATTTTGTGTATTATTGACAAAAGCAGGATAATTACAAATACATGGTAATTCACTGAGGCGAACAACATTCTAACATGTACCTTGCAGTAGAAAATTATTATCGGCCTCGACACAATTGGCAAAGAATGTACAAAATATTTCTTTTGGAGTTGTAGGGGATATCTATATCTGCCCGTTTATATTTCTAGTGTATGAGAACCACAACGAAGAGACATTAAAACACCATGCTGGTCATCCCTTCTGCTCAACTGTTACTGAAAGTAATATGAAGAAACGTGATTCACATCATGAGATGTACGCCGGCAAAACGGTGATGTGCATGTAGGTGAAGTGACGGGAATCGGGATGACAGTTTCTAATCTTGTTGCAAAATTCGGTTTCAGTACTATTCTGGATTCACAACATTACACAATAATATTCTGAATATTCGTTACTGCGCCTGTATTATAATCGATATCAATTCATGGGCCTATTGTTATTGCAATTGACATGACCCTTGGTATTGCCAGTTTAAGTTTAAAATTTAAATGTGTTGTTCAAATATATTGATTAGTCATGATCGCGATTCTGGTTGGCCGTTTAGATTATTTCGCATTTTATAGCCTTAAACCACATTATTTTCCCTACTGCCTAGCCCTCCCTACAGCAGACCTAAATGAAGCAAGTCTAGATTTCTCCAGGTTCTGCATCTCTGGTCACCCCGAGGCTCCTTTTCAATTTAAATGGGTTTATTTGTTACAAGCAAAATTTTATATATTCAGAGACTAAGCGTTGGTCTAGTACCTTACCTGTGGCGTTAAGGAATGACCCTGAAGGAGATGTCTTTCTACAACTGTTGACTGCAATTGCATCTCCACTGGAACTACCGTGGGTGGGTTTCACGTCTATTGTTGTACACACGCAGTCCTTCTCAAACATTGCTCCGCCAGCTGTTTGAATCTTGCCCACTTCATACCAATGACCGAAGAATCGAGTGTTCTGGAAAGCCACAGAAGGTGGAGGAGACTGGCATGCTGACTGATAAGACAGACACACCAACGACGCGATCACCGCCAACTGAAAAATACAATAATTAAACGTATGTTCAACCATATACAACTTACATGACCGATTTCTTTTAAAATATGCATCTTGTATGTTTGTCTGTGTTTATAAGGGCAATGGTTACTTTCCTCAGGCGCCATGTTTTGCTGATTCGTACCAGATCCCTTCGTCAAGAGTTCAAATTCCAGATATGGTCCATCATGGCTCATCAGTAGTGTGTCATCAACGTGCAATCATCGGTCATCTCAAGCTTATAAATATGTGTAATTGAAATATTGTTAGTTAGTTAGTGAGAGAGTTAAGACTTAGAGTCAAAGTGAGTGTGTAGATGAGTGGGTGAGTGAGTTAAGATTTTAAGTCACATCGGTGATATTTCAGCCATATCGTGACTAAATCAAATTATAGATATATAGTATTTGATAGTAAGTTATATATTTCAACGAAGGACAGTAAAATAATTTGATTATCGCACACATAAATTTAAAACTAGTAATTAAATCTAAAATATTATAACTATAAATAACAATACAATATAAAAACAGGCTATAGATCGCCAACAACTGAAGGTAGATCACCATACTAGGGACCATGGGGACATACGGTACATTTACTTCCTGCATGGACCCTAGCTGGATTTACACCATCCCTTCAGATGTTAGCAATGTTGGACAATCTATCCATAAATTAAAATAACATATATGCTGCAGTTAAAAAAGGTAGTACGTTTAAATTTACCATAATTGTTTTGGGACTTACGTACCCTCTCCGATTTAGAGTCACATCGGCAATATTTCAGTCATACCGTGACCAGAGCATTACGATGACATCCATTATAACTTCCCCGAGTACTCCCCTTTTCTTAAGTGGAATAAAACATGCATCGGTCTAGAAATGTGCATTCAAGGTAGATGGCGTGATATATTTAAAATCTTCTAATTCAAAATCTCTTCAATCACTGAAGAGTTGTAAGTCTGGTGTCTACTGTTTGCACATCTGTATTTACATTAAATATCCTAATGGCTGCAGTATATGATGTAGGCTGAACATATATCGTCAGCACCAATAGTCAGTCACATTTGCCGAAATACATTCAAGACATCGTTGGGGTGTTACTAATGGCCAAAGACAACACGTGTTCAGGACAGGTAGGAACTATTACCCGAAGAAGCCTAACGTCAACCGAATAACGTTATGAAAAATGGAAAAAAGTGACATCCTTTCTTATTGGTGCCGAATCAGAATTTACAGCGTACAGCTGTAATGCTGCTGAAACAAATATATACTCATGACATAGTCACCATTGTACCTTGTGCCTTTAGCAAAGATTTCCTATGGGTGTGGTTAATGGTTTTATCGCTTCTAGTTACGTGACTGCCATCCATATGTCGGCCTAGTATTTGTTACAATTACACAGGAGTAAACCAACTCAACACACTTTAATGTCTTCATTTGCAATGCTTAAAAGCACTCGTTCGTTACGTTACATACATTGTCATAAGCTATATCTAATAATTAGCCACGAGTACAGGGTGTTGTCTCATTATACTAAAGACAAGTTGTAAAACTGACAATGGTTTGCGTGCTTATTATTCTGTTGTCGCTTTGTGTTACATTGTCTGTTTAGGTCGTCACGAAACACTCATAAAATATGTCGCTGCGACTTAAATCAATCCCATTTTCAGTTGTCCGACAGCCCTGTTGTGAAGCGCCTGACATGTATTTTCCAATGTATCTCTACGCAAAGTCAAGAGGAATTGATCATGATCTTTTGTTTCATGTTGTTCTCATCTGGTAGGCCACGAGACTACCCTTGTCTTTATTAAGGTTAAACCAACTTGACTTTCATTTGCCTTAAGATTGACATTTCTAATTTCGATTAATGCCGAGTAATATTTAGTTGTTCTTGCGGATGATCCAGTTCATTTACCTCTACGTTAGAGATGAACAGTAAAATTTGTTGATAAAATGTTAGTACATGAAAAACATTACAAAACAATACACAATACATAACAAAAAGGTTTACTGTAAGTCAAGAGGATGAGTTGATACCGCTGGAAATAGGACGTTTTTAGATTAATGTTATTATGATATGTCAAAATATGTATTTGTATATAAAAAGTGCTTTCTGAGATTGTTCCTTCTAAAACTCTTGTTCATTCTGTTCACGTTTTTAACGTAACAACCACAAACACGAAATGCCTGTAGACGTCTAGTGTCTGTGTCTACATGTCTTTCAGAGACCGAAGTGAATCCGCGTTTGCCCCTGATCATCAGAAATTAAGAATGGAACTGTACTGACGCTTAGTCCCTGAATATATATAATTTTGATAGTAACAAATAAACTCATTTAAATGAAAAGGAGCCCCAGTGAGTTGGGAGATTCACGAATCTGGGGAAATCGAGACTTGCTTTATTTAGGGCTTTAGCACTGCAGAGAGGGCTTGGCATTAGTATGGTGGCTGATTATGGCCATACGCGTTATCGCTTTTTCGTCTCGTGCTATCGCTTTCTCGTCTCGTGATATCGCTTTCTCGCTTTCTCGCCTCCGAATTTTAAGGCGAGAAAGCGATGGCCCTAATCAGCCACCATACATTAGGGATAATAACGTTGTTCAGGGACTGTGAGACAGACTAATGTTTACTTTGTAGCCCGACCCCTATTGTGAGTTAGTTTTCTTGCAAATGTTAACAGACCCTGAACCTGGGGAAATCTGGACGTGCTTATTGAGGGCTTTAGTGTTGTAGGGAGGGCTAGGCATTAGGGAAATGATGTGGTTCAGGGACTGTGACACAGACTATGGAACTATCTATCAAGATCCAAATCATTACATGATATATGTACATGAATGATCATGCTTGCATGTATATAAAACAAACACATTTTGCTTCCAATATTGTTTCAGTTAATAAACCTGAAATATAATGTATCCATTCTTGATTAAGTTTGTAAACACCGAGTGACTGAATAAAATAATGAATTAATCAAAAGTCGTACCAGAAAGGTCGAGTGTCAGTCAACCACATTTGAAGCACGTGTTTTGACACGTGTGTTTCATATCACTTTGGTATGCGACCTGTAAAGGTTGTAGCGGCTGGGTAATAAACTATCATGTGCAATAATACTGATAATAACATATAAGATAGTACATACGAGTAATGGTGTTTGTAAATTGCTAGGAATGCGGTTTAGAGAAACTCGTGGTGCTGAAACCTATTACACTTTATCACGGATCATGAATTCAAATGACAATGGCCTTCCATGCCTAGGAGTTGTGTCCCCAGTTCTATCATGAATATACCACTCACACACAATATCCTGACTCCGAGCCAACCTGTCCTTGTATTCTCATAATGTCTAACTCAAGGCAAAGTAACAACAAGCACCATATGTTGGTATCATGTTGAACACGGCCCGAGATCGAATCCCCGAACTCTCACACGGGAAGATACTGTGTCAACTGGACCACGGGGGCGGTTACACTAAGTCCGGCAACGGTTTCATGCTAAAATGTCACTTGATGTGTTATTTTGAAGTACAACCTGTTTTAAGGCTGGTTTGGTTGGTTTGTTGTTTAACGCCACTCTCAGCTATATTCCAGCTATATGGTGGCGGCCTGTAAACAGCATGAGCTTCGATCTACGTAAATGGGATACGATGACATGTGTCAACTAAGTCAGCGAGCCTGACCAGTTGATCCCGTTACCCACCTCGTACGACTAGCATGGGTTACTGAAGATCAGTTCTAACCCGGTTTTAAGGTCACAATTTACCAAATTAACTTCATGTTCAACAAAAGCTGCTGAAAATAAAACTGTAATGGGCTTCTATCTTCCACTAAAGACCAATCCTGTAACATATTTCAACTGAAACAGGGGTTCAGCAAGTGTTCAGAATTTAAAACACTGTATCATAAGTGTCAACAAAAAATATACACAACACTTCCTTGAGAGGCACTTGCTTGATAAAGGTGTTAGAGCCTACAACGATACGTCGCTCTCACTGTAATATAGAAGTTGTTCATCCATATATTGTCATCCTTCAACACAACCGACCCGTGGAGGTTCGGGTTACAATATTGATCTTCAGTAACCCATGCTTGTATGAAGAGGCGACTGACGGGATCGACTAACTCATTCACTCATCGGTTCCCAAACTCAGACACAACACGTTGATCAATGGATGACTGGGATCGATTATCAGCCACCGTTGCACTCGAGATCCTCTATAATTGTACAAACTTGTTGCCGAGCAGGATATACAATCAGACCAGACTATGATCGTCTACCTTGAGTCCCGGATAACATGATAACAGATATATTCTCCGTAACAGGTCCAACGACTGGTGTTACAGCACCTGGCGATAACCTTTGTCAGCTACAATTTGACATGACGAAGCACTTTATGCGTACAGTAATACCTTGACTACCTTTTTACTTACCAAAATAATGCACTCTATTCATACATATAATGTCAAAAGCATATTAGTGAGTAAGTTTAATTTAAGGCCGCTTTTAGCAATATTCCAGCAATATCAATATCAATATCAAAATGAGCTTCACACATTGTACCCATTTGGGGAATCCATCCCGGGTCTTCGGCGTGACGAGGGAACACTTTAACTACTAGGCTACCCTTTTCAATTATTAACTTATATAGGGTGTACGATATGGTTCTTAATACACATCAAACTTCCACAACCCAACATAGCTCTGGATAGACCTTCTGCCCGAAACGTGAGGTGAGGTGAGGTGAAATTGGGTTTAACGTCGTGCATGAGAACATTTCGCTCATATGACGACGTGCATGCGTGTGTATGTGTATGTGCGGCTGCTTGTGCTAGCCCAGACTGAAGCTGGTTTTATAGTGCTAGCCCACTGAGATACCATGTCGCAGTAAAGCATGCATATCCCACTCAGACACATTATACTGAATCCGAGCCGACCAGTCCTTGTTGTACCCATTAATGCCGAGCGCCAGGCAGGGACCAACATGTACCATATGTTAACGTCTTTTGGTATGACGCGGTCGGGGATCGAACCCGCGACCTTCCGCTCTCCGGGCGGACGCTCTAACCACTACACCACGGAAGCGGTCTCCGAAACGTAATTAACCGGCATTAGTCCGGACTGATACAATCATCAACATACAGGCACACATACACGTCAAGTATGTAAGTGCAATAATCTTGAATGAGAAGATAGAGGTTCAGAGTGGTGTCAGGAACATTTTCCTTCACTAACTTCAGCAACATTGCCTCACACTTTGCCTCGAGGTTTGCAAGATCTCAACAGGTGGGCAAACCCTGAAATAGCCACTGCAGTACTTACACTTTTTTCTACATTCGCATATGAACGGAGCTTATGTTGATACTTTTCAAATTATTTTCAATATTTGAAACTGTCAACGCTTTTGACTTAAACCTCTTCAACTGACAATCCTAGATTTGGTATTGTTGTTAAAATGTACTATCTCACCTTAAGCCAGCCGTCCATTATCGTGGTTTGGGGAAAAAGAAATACTAGGATGGGTAGGTCAGATAACATCCACCATATGTGGCCTGATTAGAACGCGTGAAACAGAGGGTCACAACCTCGATATGATCATAATGATCATAGATATCCAACCCACGCGGACAATAGGGAATAGAAACAATGAGTGAGCATGATTTTACGCCGCTTTTAGCAAATTTCCAGCAATATAACAGAGAAGGTGAGGTGAGGTGAAATGGGGTTTAACGTCATACTTAAGAATATTTCACTCATATGACGACGTGCCCAAGGTTAAGCTGGTTTTAGTGTCAGTCCACTGAGATACCATGCCGCAGCGAAGCATGACTACCCCACTCAGACACATTATACAGACTCCGAGCCGACAAGTCCTTGTTGTACCCATTAATGCCGAGCGCCAGGCAGGGACCAACAAGTACCATATCTTAACGTCCTTTAGTATGACGCGGCCGGGGATCGAACCCGCGACCTTCCAATAACCGAGAAGGGCACAGACGAGTCCTCGGCATGACGAGCCATCGCTTTATGACAATACTACCTCAAAGCCTACTATATCAAAAACCCGTGAAGATCCGGGTTAAAATTGGTCTGCAGCAACTCATGCTTGTCATAAGAAGCGACTTACGGGATCGGGTGTCAGGCCCGCTGACTTGGTTGACACATGTCATCATATCCCATTTGCGTAGATCGATGCTCACCGAATTGATTCGATTATTTATAGACCGCCATTATATAGCTGGAACATTGCTGGTGTTAAACAACAAAACTAACTGAACCAACGATCTCAAAGAAGTCAAAGATGGACGCACTTACGTCAGTCATTTGCATTTGTGGTTTGGAACAGCCTGCCTCATGAATTCACTATGACAAAACTTGTGGAGAGTTTAGGAGACGGTCCCTTGAGCACCTGCTCACTATGCCGATGTAATTGTTATTATATATATCATCCGGGTTTTTTTTCATTTTCAGTCCCTCCTCATGTTTCCCTTTTGTACACTTTTAGAACTGTTTTGACGAGAAATATATTTATAGTATTGATTTTGGTACAAAAATATCGTTCCTTGCATCTTTAAATACAACCTCTTCCGGGTTAGAATTGGTCCTCAGTCACCCACGCTTGTCGTAAGAGGCGACTAACGGGTTCGGGTGGTCAGGCTCGTTTGACACGTCATCGTATCCCAGATGCCTAGATCGATGCTCATGATGTTGATCACTGGGTTGTCTGGTCCAGACTCGATTATTTACAGACCATCACAGCTGGAATATTGCTGAGTGCGGCGTTAAACAACAAACACACAAATAATATACATCTACACTCACAACTACTCCCATCCGAAAAGTAAAAGAAGGATTATACACACTATTTGGAATACATGCACGCAAAATACGGGTGGCTCACCCGATTAAAATACATCACTTTCTCTACAGAGTAGTGTCCGTTAGACGTATGACATATGATGGCGTGTTCGAAACCTTGGTCGCACTGAGTTTGTTTCTAGTTTAGTCAGGACCAATTCCAGAATAGACATCGGGTTCTCCACCCTCATTACAAACTGACACAGTGTCGGGACTGCGTGTAAACCCTACCTCAGTTACCTACTACTTATGGCCGTTCCACATTGTCAGGGGAGATGTAAGCTCAGGATTTCCAACCGCTTAGTCCGTCGAAGCAAGGAATCTAAGTCAAGTTCCCGTCGCTACATGGTTCAAATATTGCCGAGGTGACGTTAAATATTGACTCACTCACTCATTCATGTACTGGGATACATTCCTACAAACATTAACGCAACACCAGATTTCATACTCACTCACAACAACTTCAACACAAGAAAGGGTATCCTTGAACCACAGTGAGAAACTGAGAGACGTGGATTGGTTTCCGTCAATCGAAAAGCATGCACCACGTTTTTGGCGGCGTCTTAAAGTGTTCGAGCCTGCTCCATCCTTGTCACATGTCCTAATACAAATGAACATTTCTGTTGCATCATTGCATGGTCTCCTGTCCTACCTCGTGATCGGTGAATAACTGTAAACTACCCATCGGTGATTCACCGTTAACTAATACTTTGAAAGTCTTTTGGATTCGGTTGCTCCCAGTTATTATATTCTATATCTCTTGAGTTATTACCCAGCAGCGATAGCATCCATTCTATCACGCAATAACCGCAATTCTCATTAATGGATTTGTTATACTTTTCTTGTTTAGAAGATGCATTTTTACCTTAAAACAACACGTCAGTAAGAAATAACTATTCACAAGCTATAAATTGCAATGAACAGGTGAAGACATGAGTGATAGATGATGAGCGGCGCCGCTGGTAAGGCTCGACAACCGGAAACTAATCAAGAATATAACCGTGTTGACTAACCACACCGCCTGTTTGAAATAGAACCAAATGATCATACATAACCTACAGCTGTGCATTAGAAACCGGATATCCAGATCCCTTTCGCTGACCTTAAGAAACCTTGGCGTCATCATTGATTCTCAGCTTACAATGGAACCACAAATAGATAGAGTTGTAAAACTTCTTACTACCATCTTCGTAAAACATCAGTAAAATCAGTAAAATACGCCATCCCATAACAAGAGATGCCGCTAAAGACTTGACAGTAGTAACAGCTTACTGGTAGGTATCAATAAAGGTCAACTGTACAAACTCCAGAAAGTCCAGAACACCGTTGCCTTGACTATAACTAAAACACCAAACTCATCGCATATAACGCCTGTTCTTAGGATTTGCACTGGCTTCCCACTGAAGCGAGAATCAACCTTACAGTTATGTGTATGGTGTCCAATGATTGGATTTTTAATGGATAAGCATGTACAATGTGAATGACACACCCCGACCGCGTCATAGCAAACGACGTTAAAATAGGGTACTTGTTGGTCCCTACCTGGCGCTCGGCATTAATGGGTACGACAAGGACTGGTCGGCTCGGAGTCAGTATAATGTGTCTGAGTGGGGTATTCAAGCTTCACTGCGGCATGGTACCTCAGTGGGCCAGCACTATAAAACCAGCTTAAGTCTGGGCTAGTACAAGCAGCCGCACATACACATATACACGTATGCACGTCGTCATATGAGCGAAATATTCTCAAGTACAACGTTAAACTCAATTTCACCTCACCTCACTCCACCTCACCTCACCTTTCGTTCCCATAATTTATATGCATGATGATAGTTATGTTCAAAATTGCTGGACCCCCTACCTCCACAGAACTGGGATACGATGTCATGTGTCAACCAAGTCAGAGAGCCTGACCACTCGACCCCGTCAGTTGCCTCTTCCGACATGTGTGGGTTACTGAAGATCACTTCTAACCCCGATCTTCACGGGTACAATTAAAAATTCATATGTTCACACGTCGTTTTGATGTGGGGCGGTGGGGTAACCTAATGGTTAAAACGTTGGCTCGTCACGCCGAAGACCCGGGTTCGAATCCCCACATGGGCACAATGTGTGAAGCCCATTTCTGTTGTCCCCCCGCCGTGATGTTGCTGGAATATTGCTAAAAGTGGCGTAAAAACTAAACTCAGTCAGTCAGTCAGTCGTTTTGATGTCGTTGACGTCCGTGTTGTTTGGGATTTGATTATGTTCGTCGAAACTCAGCCGTTACAGAAAACCCTCCAATCCCTCCTAGACACGCCCTCACATTACCTTCTTTTTTTTTACTGAAATATTCACAAGGAGAATTTTATTTAAAACCACAATGATTTAGAGAACTGTTTACCCCGAAAAGGAAAAATAAAATAAAAAATGTTCATAATACATACAGATCATAATCATGTTTCCCCTGATGATTGTGAATCAGCGCCATCGATGAAACATGGTAATAGAACACACTAGTGGTGGTCCAATTAATTGAAATAATCGAAGATTGGTCGAAATGACTAAACGACCAAGCAATCGATCACATTTTGTCATAATCGAATACAAACAAGTTTGTAATACGTGTTTGCATTAACAATATTTATCACAAGGTTGGTTTTGAATGTTACGTTTCATAAGCACTACAAGCTCGTTCCATGTCGTGATTAAATTTATCTTGAAGACTCCAGGAAATTTATGTTTCTAACATACTAGTCATCCTTTAAAGAAGTGAAATTTGCACCAAAAAAAACCCGAAAGAACTGCATGTTCTTTTCATTATTTTTTTGTGCATTAACAAACATAACCAGGACAATTTGATAAATGACGCTAACCAATTATTTTCGATGATTGATCGGTTGTAATGGATCAATCATCAATTATGAGATTTTAACCAATTCCCAACACTAGAACACACAACCAAACACAAACACACACAATGTGTATAAACACACACACACACACACACACACACACACACACACACACACACACACCGATTTACACAAACATATCATATATCGGCCACTTCAGAAGAAGGAAACTTTCGTAGTTCCCCGCGCAACCAGCGGCAACGGTCAACGGTCAACGGTCGGCACATGGAACTGGTGCAACACACCAGTTTGACACAAGTACCTTATTTATCATAAAAAGGTACATACGGCATCATCATAACAATTACTGAAAGAGTCTTCGAAGGGGACTCTATTAAGAAGTATTATGTATTAGTTAATCAGACATTATTACAAGGGACTACAAGGCAATGACTTCAAACTGCATCAGTTGTTCCCTAGGTCAAAGCATTGACCTGATCAGACAGAGAACTAGGGATCAGAACTTCATCGATCTTCTGGACAACGCCATTAGCGGCACTCAGTTCGTCCAGAATACTGGCATTGTCGACCTCGTTAAAAGCTTTCGTGGCAAAGAAAGGACAAGGTCATGTGCAAACAGAAAAATGTTTATTATTGTTTGACAATACATCTACCCTGTCCATAAACCGTTCGGACCATAACACAGCTAATAAATACTAATGCATTTAAATAGCATCATCCGGCCAGACACATCAAAGTGAAGTATATAACGGTTCATCACATGTGATAAATATTCGTAGATTTATATACCTTAATCTGGTCGAAGAACACCAGCATTGTATATGGAATAAATCCTCATGCACCCAATGTATTCGGACATA